TTCCAGCAACTCTTCTCCTTCTGGCCGAAGCACTCGTGAACCTCAAGAAGCTCAAAAGGCTCTCTCACCCGGTCACCCGGTCATTGGATTTGTGGCTCCCACCACGGAAACAAGAAAACTATATATATATAAATATATTTACTCAGTTACTTAAGAAACACGTCCCGCAGGAAGGGCATGCACCCTGTTTTTCCTGGAAATCCAACACTCGCCCGATCCGCACGAGAAAAAAAACACATGGAGCTTCGTCTCCCCATGCCGACGCCCCAGCAGCCTGCGGCCCGGTCGGCAAAATCCACCACGAATCCATGGGACATACCCTGAAAAGCACCAACCCACAAGGAAAACGTGCCACGGTCATCTATTCGGGGGTCTATATCTTTGTACAGTAGGTATAGTGTAGGGTTGTCCAGCCAAGTCACCTATTGGAAGCACCTGGTCTCTCTCTCTCTCTCTCTCTTTCTCTCCTAGGATGTGTTCTTTTTCCAGATTGGGATTTTGGGCGCGCATTGTTCCAACAGTCATGAGCTTTTCTGCAGTTCTGACTTCTGAAGGACGACATCCTTCTTTTCCCTTTGTTTTTCCCTTCAAGTAACTAGCCAAGGAGAGGAACGCAAATAGATCTTACCTACGGTGATTCTCTGAGCCTCCTTCTTCCAAACATGACTGACTTTAACCAAGCATTAAAAAAGGAATATGTCCAACAATCAAACCAACATTGCCTGTATCACACACACACACACATCACACACATGCACACACGTCTTATTTTAAGAACTAAACAGTCCCCTTTGCGATTGGCTTCCTAGACCCTAAGAAGCCATGAGCAGTGGACACCCCGGGCCCCTACCCTCCAATCAAAGGAACTCGGAACTCCTGGGAAGTTAGTTTTGCTGGGTCTACCTAGTCTACCTCTCAAACATCAGTACCCCTGTCATGAAAAAGGAACTCCTGTGCAACTTCCCCACTCCAAAAGAACATCTTCCGGTTGGACAAGGTGCTTGAGTCGATTGTGGCTTGGGATGTTGAAATGCCTCGGCCAGGAGGCTTTCACAAGATCCTCTGGAGAAGCAAAACGTTCACCCCAAAGAATCCTTGGAATCCAACATCTGAGGTCTGGGAATCTCCCATACCAAAAAAAACATCATTTTGCATCATTTGAAGGGTCCGGAGTCAAGGGCAGGGAACCATGTACCTAGTCCACTTGGTCAGCCGAAGTGTCGAACCACGAGGCCTGATTCTTTGAAGCCTGCAGGGGTGCCGGGGTGGGTGGGTGCACAGCTTCATGGCGGTGCGAGATCTATGTCTATGCCTATGCCGATGGTCCAAGAGTTTTTGTGTGCACAAGGCCAAAACAAGAATTACTCTGTATAGTGGTTTCAGAATAGTTGGCACAATCCCCGAAGGCCCAAAAGCTTGGTTTATTTGGATCCCCCTCAAAAAAACATATTCGGGTTCGTGCCATCTACGTTGAAACCACTGTGCCATCTCCCCACTTTGCTGAGCATTGGCCGCTTTGCCAAGATCGGGGATCGGTATGGATTGGTCGGTCGCACTCCTTAGTGAAGTGGGTGGATTCACCAACCAAAATCCGAGCGGCAAACGGCAACCAACCCTGCTACACAAATCCACACCTATTTGGAATCATTTGGAACACTAATTTCTCCACAAAAAACAAATACAAAGAAGGTGCTACACTCTCACTCACCTCCACATGGTTGGTGTTCACCCCCTCAATTGGTGGAGTTGCTTGGCATGTGACACCTGTCATGGGGTTCCAATCGTCCATCAAAGCCTTCATGCAGGGCAAAACAGAAGATCCAGAAGTCCCTAAGAAACCCAGTAGTAGCAATAGAACAGGTCAAGCCTTCACACATGGCCAAATTGGCCTTCCCTCGAGCCAAGCGATCGAATCGAAACGCGTTGCACGCTTCCCCCCGTGATGTTTTGTCCTCCCTTCTTCTCCACAACTCTCCACACACTCCACTGGCTTTCTCCACGGAACCACACAAATGCCGGGCAAATCCAGCATCTTTTGTAAACTCTCCTGGGCTTCCTTGCGGCGACCGGACCGGGACCCTGTCATCGGACCACTTGGGATCCAAGGAACCGTGTGACATCGCCGAGCAAACGAGATAACACAGTTGTAGCCCAGACACGACCCATGGGACTGGAATCTATACCATATATATATATATGCTTACATTGACCCCCCAAAGGGTATTGCCAAGAATGGTGCACATGGACCACATGGATCAGTTGTCGATTGACTTTGTATAAGATGTTTGTTGAGATGTTGTACATATGGTGGTGAAAAGAAGTGGGCAGCACCATCTCAATGCAATCGTGCACGCGTCCTTTGCCTGCAGGCCTATGATACATTTCTTATTTGTTGAAAGACCGTTGGCAATGACAATCAGCACTGTCTAGAGAATCCTGTGCGATCTTTGTGGAACCCCGTGACTGATTCCAACATCCCGGCAACTACGGCAGAACCAGTTCCTTAAATTGTGATAAGACATTTGATCAAACATGATCAAACTCATTCCAAAGCACCACCCACCCTTAGCTAGTTCTCCGAGGCCAAACTATACCACCCTTCTCATCCCTTTTCTCTCCTCGTGAGTCACTGGCTTCACTGGATGCACCTCGGCTCTTTCAGCCCCACCCCCGGCGTGAGGGCCCCCCAGCTACACTGGACTTAAACAATCCATGGGACTGCCATGATCCAATCATTTGGGGTGCCATTCATGGAGGCAAATACCCCCCAGTCCCATTCATGGAGTGGGACTGGATCGGGCTACGCAAAAGATCCTCAAAAGCTAGGCTTGGCAGTGAGGAGGTGTGAGGAACAATCCTGGCCTTTGTAGGACCCAGGTCAGCCAGGGTTCCTTCACCTGCCTGTATGCACCCTATTGGCCCTATATGGCTCCACACATACCCTCCGAGAAGGTGAGCAGGGAGACTCTTTAAAACGCTTAGAAAAGGTGCCCAGGGTCAGGTCCAGTGCCCGGGGTCAGGTCGGAAGCCGTGGCGAACCTGAGGTTCGGTGGAGCCATGGACGACCTTCAACGAAGATGAGATCCGTACCCCAGACACGACCCGTCTGGGACTGCCATAGGACTGCCGCCCCATTGAGCCCCAAAACCACCCCAATGTAAGCATATATGGCAGTCCGATGGAGTGTCTGGGTACCACTTTCGGCAAATCATGACTACCAGGTGAGGAAAAATCATGACATACCTGGAAGTTCTGATAAAATCATGAGTCGAACAGAAAACACGACAAGAAAAACCGGTGGTTTCTGCCCAGTTCCGGTGCCCAGAAGTCGCCTCGGAGGAAAGGCTCCCGCCAAAGCGCGCATGTTGGCCGGACCGTCCCATCGCGAAGCGAACCCATCGCCCAGTCAAGCATCATTCGGTTCATCCTTGGGATCCTGGGGATCCTCTTCCTTCGTCTCTTCCTGTCACTCGGCTGAAGGACGAGTCGGGATCGAACCCGCCGGTGGCCCGGCAGGACTCTGAGGTGGGGTAGCCGAAAGGGTGGGGAACAAGACCTCTGAAAGTGCACCAATTGGTGGACTTCAGGACTTCGATTGCAGCCCAAAGCTACCACCCATAACCTCAAGCTGCAATGCCAAAAAAAACAGGTCGGCTAGATATCTTCTTCATTCTTGTCTGGGCATCGATGGGTCCTGGACACTTCAAAGGAGGACCATGTGGGAATTGGGATCCAGTTCCCAATAAATTCAGACTAGACCCGCATAGTCTCCTCCTCCTCCTCCTCCTCCTCTCCAATGAAACTTTATAGGGCCACCCTGTGGCTTCAAGTGCATGTCCCAACAACGCCTGTTCCGGCCTCGTGTTCCTCTTCAGCGCCCTCCTCCTCACCCTCTCCGGCAACTGGAGCCTCCTCGCCTGGGTGTTTGTTTCCTCCCAGGATGCGTTACATTCCAAAATCAAACACAGAACCTCAGGGTGTCATACCTTGTCATCTCTGCAAGAAGGTTCAACAAGGAGTCTCCACAGTACCAACAAATTAGACAAAACAATTTCCCAAAAACAACAAAATCATGGTAAAACCATAAATACGAAAGTAGTGCTGATTCTGCTGGCACTGAAGCTAAAGGCTGCTTTCGTAGTATAGTATTATGGTGCAAAAAAAACGTCAACAAACATTATACTTTGGAGTGCTGTAGTATGATAAAACCTATAGTACAATTGAAGTTCTATGACTCCGATAATGGTCATCGTTCCAGCGATTTGGGGCATGCTTGTGCGGAGTGTAAGGGTAACAGTACACAAAAAATGTGAAGCATCTGATCCGGCAGAACATGGGATGATGACTGATGTTGGATCCTGATTAATCAAAGGGTCCTCTATAATGCTATTGTTCAAAGTAAATCTGAACCCATGCTTGTTTTAAGGGTCCTCGATTATGCTAAAAATATTGGGATCCCTGTCATTATCTGAAAATAAGTAGGGTTTTGAATTCTTCTGAGACCTGTGAATGATACTGAGCCAATGGCTGACTTGCTGAGAGCATTATTGGCAAGTATAGGTTACTCTCGTTCTTCAAAACTGACAGCTTCCCAAAGCCATCAATTCCTTAATCAATCCTTTATGTCAAGATATTGAATACCATTAATCTATGAATTGAAGAGGAAGGGAAAGTGAATACGACAATCAATTGCAAAAGGAATCCTCCCAGGAATCCAGATCTGTTTTGGTGGTATTTTTTAAAATAGAGGACCCCGTATTTGTTGGAGGAGGGGGGTATCCTTTTACTGATCAGGATCCAACAATATTATATAATTACTGTCTTTATTGTAAGTACTACTATTAAGATGACTGGACAAACAACCTGACTGACAGTAATATATACAAGATATATTATAGTAGTTATAGTAGTATTATGTGCAGTATATCTTTTCCCCCGAGTTGAACCGAACATGAACTCCGACCCGTGCCCGGTTACGATGTAAACAAAGCAATTGCAGCTTAGCCTCTGGTCTTTTCAGCCGTCTCTTCTGGCTTTGCTTCGGTCTCACTCTTGGCTTCAGTCGATGTTTCAGTCGTCTTGGGTGCTTCGCCCTGACCGATTTGAGGAACTGCCATCCGATTTGAGTGAAGAAAGGCACGAACGACCCTCGGAAGCAACCTTTACAAGAACGACTTTCCAGCACCCCCATTTCCAGCTATTCTGATGACCTTCAACAAAAGGGAAGAATCAGCAACAACAAAGTTTAGGACTTGTTCTGAACCCAATGATGATGTTTCATAGCTTATCTGTAGTATCTGTAGGTGTTTGAAAGCTTCAGTTATATCTATACGTGTTACTTGGAGATGCCGATCAAAGTTTGTCTCATCCATTAGTGTCATCATGTGAGTCATGACGGCAAAGAACTGGAGCAAAACATGAACAAATGACCACCAAGCTAAGCAGGATTTCATCGGGGTGAGTGGATCAGCTGGAGCTCCACCCCGATCCAACAAGGTCGGCACCTACTCGTAGCTCGGCGGAGTTTGCTCCCTCATGTGTCAAGCTGGATCTGTTCGAACGCACTTGGGCCCTGGTGGAAAACGGATGAAGTTCACTTGTTCATTGGAGCCTCCAGTCACATCCAAATGTTGATTGAGGTTGTGAGAGTCGCCAACATCATCTCCGACCAACAATTGGCACACACACATGTATATACATGTATACAACAAACAAATAAAATTGCATAAAGTTGTAATGTGCATATATATATATATATACATGTGTATTTGCATATCTCTATGTAAAACTAGATATAATAACACATATGGTCGAGGAGTGCGGGTCACCTGCTCATCCTGGGGCAATGTTGCATATCGCACAACCCTTTGCTATCTATCTCTGCATGGTAATATAATATGTATATATACATTTATATCAATATAATGTGTGTCACTGGTCTTCCCCGGTTTGGATCACCGGTGCAGCGTCCCGTTTGTCGCCTTCCGAGGTAGCTTGAAAGTGAAGACCAAGGGGAAGGGGCATTCCTCAGGCATTCGAATCTGACAGAAACGCGACATATATAGTGGGTTGAGACAAAAGGTGGCTTATATGGACCCCCATCTAAAGGACATCTTGGGGTCTGTGCCGTCTACTCTGAAACCACTGTATGTCTCCCCTGGAAGCTTTTGGAGACTGAGTTGCAGGTCCTGTTGGAGGGTCCTGGTATAAATATGTATAAAATCAATGTAGTGCTTACACAGGTTTTATGTTTGACGGACTTATTCTGATCCGCCTACGTTTATGATATTTTTTGAGGAAAGGAGCCACAAAGTATCAAGCATGAATGGAGCCGCCCGCCAATTCTTGATTGCACAATGGATGATGATTGGGTGCCAGGTAGTGTCTCTAGCAGGCCCATGGATGGACTGTTCATCATCCCCCAGCCAATCACTACAGCCACATCCTCACACCTCTCTGGCTGACTCACTGTGCTAAGCATCGCAAACACCACGCCGGCTCCAGAACTAATGGTCTGCACTGATCAGTGATGGTTTTTGTTCAAACCGGAAACCGAAAGTCCCCAACCAATTCAGAAAACGAGATCAAGGAACCAAACATGGCCATCCAACGCATTTCAGCAAAACATCCCCGGTCCGCCCCCGCCGTGTCTACAGCGGGTGTGCCCCCTTTTCGATGGCGCCGCGGTCCATCGCGCCGCCGTCCATCGCGCCATCAGCCCATGACGCAGCAGTTGCAGCTCTTCCAACATCGGCCTCCATAGAGCTCCACGTTCTTCGGCGGCAAGCGCAGCTCGTTGTGTGATGACATCCTGGCATTCCGATCGGTCCGGCTGGATTTCACCGGAGGAACCCGCGTTGTTTTGGATGATCAATCCTGAAATGAGGAACTGCTTGGTTGGGATGCTGGTTCTCTTTAAGGCTGCAGTACTATCATAAGGCTCTTCTCAGAATTCATGCCAGAATCAGTCCTCTTTCCTACAGTCTTACTTCTCCAACTTACAGCCCACTCATCTAGTCCATGACTCCAATTTGGGTCGTTGGCCCCTCTCTCCTGATGCTAAAACATGCAATGGCTAAACCATCAGAAAAGAAAACACACCAAAACAAAACGGCAAAACACCATCCTATATATGTCGTAGAGTCTACAAGGGTCTCAATCACCTCACCTCGAAGTGAAGAAAACACGAAACGACATACTGCACATTCCCTATCCAGCAATAGTTGAACGCAGAACATGGACGAACATGGCTTCTTGTATGACTATATATGACCATGCGACTCTACAAGATTGGTTGGACGGGGGAGTCATGTGGTCTTTGCAGTTCACTAAGCCAGGCTCGGGCCCCAAAGAAAAGGGCCCACAAGGACCCCATGCGATCCGCTCTGAAAGAAGCATTCCCATCCGCAACTATCCAAAGCAATAAACTAGTATATTATATACAGTAATATATTGTTTTAATATTGCTGACACGGACTCCCATTTTGAATGGCCCTCTGACAAAGTCTATCCACATAATATCATATAATATAATATATCAACTCGGATAGCCAACCCTCCCCAAATAACGAACACCTTCCGAAATCAAACATCCAAGATGCCATCCGCACTCCCTGCTGCTTCATTCTCAGCACCATCTGTAAGCTCAACGGCCAGGGCTCCCCACCTATGGCGCCGTTCACTGTGCGCGTGCGTTGCCGGCGCTGCCTGCCGCCCGCATGGGCAAGCAAACGATAGGCCTGGCTCCAGTGCTGGCTCCGACGGCAGGTGGTCATCGCTGCCTCATAGGTGGTGCCATCTGCCTCCAGTTCGGAGGCTGACAGGTGCTGCAGAAGTACTAAAGAGCGATGCCAGAAGAGGTGCTTCTCCTTGACTGGATTCTGTGGATTCGGATGTTGAGTTGAGATGAGTTGGGAACACCAAACATGTTCTTGCATGCTATTTGGTGCAGGGTCCTCTATTTCTAAGCTGGAATTCTGCGATCTGGACTGCATCATTGGGGTGTTTTGTGTGAATTGGCCGCCACGTCCCCCGCATTTTGGTTTGTGGGAGTCACGGTCCTGTCATTGAGACAATACCATCCTAGGGTCCTAGAGCTCAATGGTACTGAATCAAATCAAACCTACAGATCCTATATTAAATAACAATAAAAACATATACAAACACAATATAAAGTAAAGGCATCAAGTCTCATAGGAGGACATGCAAATATTGTGGGAGATCACGTCTATCTGCCTTACTTGACGAACGTCCCTGCTCCAAAAGAAACTCTAAAACCTTTTTTTGCAGTTCAGAAGCCTTAAAAAACAATCATAATCATATACTTTAAACAAAAACGTTCAGGTTACGCTCATGATATCCGTCAAGTAAGCTGCACGTCTTGCCTCTGCATGCTCTGCAAGATCCGTGGCACCAACCACTGCCTTCCTGCCTCCACTGTTGCCGCCAGCGCCACGTTGACGGCGACCACGTCCTCCCGTTGACCAGCGGGTTCTGGCGCCGCGAGGAGGCAACGCTGCCACTGCTGAGCACCACGCAAGGCATTCAAGATGCTGTAGGTGGTGTCCATCTCCAAGCCTTCAAGATTTAGACCGAAGATTTCTTCGGCCAGGTTGGTTCAACGCGGAAGACTTCTTCCAAAAACCCGTGGGCTTATACTGGCTTCTACTTTGGCTTCACTTCCAACAGGCCATGCTATTTGACGCATTGCCACCGGTAATCAATCATTGCTCCGAGAATTTCTTGGATTCTTTAGGTGCTGGGTGGAGGCCCTTTACGCGCCGAAAGCTACACAAACTGAAAAATCCAATCCCTTTCATCCTGGCTTTTGTATTCCGGCACCACCTTGATGTTGAAGCCGCAGCCACTGCGTCAGCACCAGCATCCATGTGGAGCCGGCGCTCCCAAGTGCTTCCAGCACTGCCAGATCGACGTCGCTGCTACATCGACGGGCGGTCGTGAGGGCATGTTCCCAACTTTGGCAGCTATGAGTGTTCAGTATGAGATCAGCTTCTGAAAGTCTCATCCAAGCCTTCTGCTGCTCCCCCAGCTGCAAGCTATGCTGCCATGACACTTCGCTCGCTCTTATGCTGCGATAGCTAACTGCATCGGGGCGGTGTCCGGTGATTTGACCTGTGGGCCCTGCCCAAACGGCCAAGGCGCTCGTCCAAGGGACTCCACCTGACTTGAGCACCTGCAGGCAGGTGGTGTGCAAGACCTCATTGTGGCCCAGTTGGTGATGTCTGAGCTGATGCAAGAGGCCTAAGGCCAATGGCCACATCTGAGACTTCAAGGACTTCATCGCTGAGCTGGAAGTGATTGGACTGGGTCGAGGGCCATGCTGAAACATGGAATCCAACAACTGAAGTGCCACTTCCCATGCTTCAGAATCCGCACAGGCCTCCAGAACCCGATTGTAGGCAATCACATCCGCCTTGTCACGTGGGTGTGTGCCATGTTCCAGTTTCACAAGGGCTGCTTGCCAACGAGACATCGTTCCACATGCATCTGCCAAGGCAGCGATGGAATAGGAGTCGCTCATGCACGCGGAGAGCAAGGTAAAGGACCTCATCCAAAGACCCTCAGCTGCAAGTGTGGCCAACATCGTGTTGATGGTAATCGCATCTGCCCGGCCACATGCAGCACAAGCCTCGAGCAACCCGACAGCTTGCGTCCAGGGCGTCACTTTCATCAAGGAGTTCAGGGTCCCAACTGTGGGCTCCAAGCCTTGTGCCGCCCACCGGCGAAACCACCGCAAGTGCATAGGCCATGCCTCGTGACACGCAGATATGACGGTGGTAGCTCCATACGCATCCGGCGTGCCATCCGTGTCATCCACGAGCTGCAGCGCAAGTCGCCAGTGTTGCTGCAAGGACAAGAGGGCTGAGTTCACTAAAACCGTGTCCAGTTCAGGTGATTGCTTGAAGACGCGGAAGGCGCAAAGCCAATGGTTGGAGCAGGAATTGGTGGCTAAGGTGATGCTGAGGAGATCTGCTTCTAAATGACCTACGCACAGGGGGTTCATCTGGGGTTGCTTTCATTCTCTCTAGACTATAGATGATAAAAAGTGTTTGGAGTTTATATTGTGGGATATTGTGGGCACAGGGCCTGGTCTTTGAGGCATCTTTCTTCTTGGATCTCTTTGTTTGGAGCGAACATGCATGACCTCATTCCTTTGGTGCTTGGCAATGCTGATTGTAAGGCTATGTTCTTCATCATGGAGGTGTTGTGGTTTGGTCAACCTCTCCTCGGCCCATCCATTGCATCAACTGCAGTGTCCAGTGCCATCTGGTGCCGCCAGTCTTCAGGCCGAGCAAAACGCCGTTCACCAGAAACACGTCGGCCTGCAAGGCAGCATTGCCCGCTGCAGCCAGGAGCCCTAAGGCTTCCTGGGAGAAAACAGGCGTTGCCATGGGTGAATTGAAACTTAACATGTCATGGGGATGGGTCAAGACTGAGTCAAACCCTGGAAGACTGGTCCACCTTGTAGCGAAAGTCCTTTCAGGTAGGTCAACTGGTCGGGCACCCTCCCTCCAACAGTCCAACTGGAAGAAACACTGCAAGATGCCCATGACTGGCCCGCCACCGGAGTTTCAACTTCGTGCAGGAAAATAAGTCCGCAAAGTCAGGATGGGATTACAACTTCCTGTTGTTTTTTTTCTTTGGGGGGATGGGCGACTAATAGCAGGGAGGGCGAATTGGATGATCGCGCTCGGCACCTCAATGGAGTTCCCCCACAGAATCCCACATCATGCCACCAGGTGGCTGTCCATTGAGATGCTTTGGATGCCTTGGTCACTGCCAAGGTGTGCAACTTCAAGGTGTCCATGCGCCATGGCGTGACTAAAGGCACAGCCAGTTACTCAAGCCGCGAGTGGGCGAAGCTTGGGCGAAGTTCTGGGGGGGACAGGCTAAGTTTTGAGAAAACAATAGCTCTCTTGGATGGCACTGTCCAGGAGCTGGGACAAATAGGGGGGTTCACCGACAGGAACAAACCAAATCACCCTATGCCCTGAGCAAAGCCCAGCGTTCGTTCCTTGTTGCTCCTGCTGCTGTTGCATGGTGCTTGCCGGGGATAAGAGCATTGGTCCAGCGTTGGTGGCACATGAGTCGGCATCGGTCCAAGAGAATACCCTTAAGAGCGCTTAAGAGAACACACTCCCTGAAATAATCATGGAAGTGTCTTGTACCACACAGTGTCTTGTTCTCTTTCCAGGTCTTGTTGTGCACCTGGTACTTAAAAATACACTTCGAGTCACTAACATGGAAGTGGAACCACCTGTATTTAGAGGAAACTTGTCATCCAATAGGGACAATTTTCTGCTTCGATGATTCTTTCAGGGAATGTAGACATCTCCTTGCAAGCACTGCAAGCACCGACCGCTGCCGCAGTTTCGCCCATGATCGCCGTTGCGCGCCTTTGACAACTCCGAATTCACACTCCGACTTTCCGGGCCCCCCCCGGTGTCGCAGGGTGTCTAACAGCCCCGAAGATCGGGGTGATTCTTTTCCCGGCGTTTCGGGCACTCCACTCACCTCAAGTCGACGTGGATGGCCGCCGAATACGCTTCCCGCCGTCCCACTGGGCGACCCGTGCTTTGCCCTCTGCGCTGCCGCCGGGGCCAAAGGGGTCGTCACCCTCAGCGTCATCCGGCGTCGCATCGAGTGCATCGAGTGCATCGAGGAGCGTCGAGGTGCTCCGTGGAGGGTGGGAGGTGCTCCGTGGATCATCTGGCACTGCCGCCGGCACTGCCCAGATTGGAGCGGTTGAAAAGGGATGAAAAGGGCACAGTAGGCTGATATCATGCACAGTACATTCATGTACATTCCATAGAGCAAGGGAGAGTTGATACAACGAGTGGCAGTTGATGCGGATTCGCAGGAGCTCCTGGGCGGTGATGCCTCGGGAATTCCTCTAAGCGTTTGACCGTCATTCTTGCGTATAGGTTATGCGAACGCCAAACACTCCATGTATGCATAATATGTATGCCATATTTGCCGATCAGTTGGGGTGGTTTGGGCGGTCAATGTTGGCATATATGGCAGTCACATGGAGTGTCTGGGTGGCTATGCAAGCATTCTTGGTGGAGAATCGCGTCCTTTTTGGTGAACTTCAGCAACCTGATTGATCTTTCACCTGTTCACATACACCCCACTCCCAAAAGATCCCAAAAGTGTGAATGCCAAGCTGGCAACACAGTCATATCTGCCCATTTAGGGGAACATCAAACCACACACACTCGCGCATTCCTCTGCCATTCTTCGAATGTTTGTTGCCCAGACCGACTATAAGCATCCTAGAGGCTGAGGGACCCCAGATTTTTGAAGCCAAACATGCTCTTCTCCAATCAAAGCAGGGGACAAGTGGATAGGATTGAGCTGCATTGCGACCAATTTTGACGCCTCAAAATATCGATAGCTGGAGGCTTCAGTTGCTTTTGAACCACCACACACAGCTTTCTGTTTTCGTGTTCCATTTCTGACATGGACCCCGGCCGCCCATGACGAGCCATCTAGATACTCCGTTGATCCCAGCATATGTTAACAAGATTTAACAAGTGATGTCACCCCCCCAAACTCGCACGACTTGTATATATAAAGAGACGCTAGTTCTTTGAACACTCATCCATTTGAATTCACTTGTCTAGCTTGGGGATCCTCCAAGCCTTGGTGGGCGACCCTTCACACCTGCTCTCCACCCGGCAGGCATGCCGTCGTCTGTTTGAATGAAGCGGCTGAGATCTCCATCATCATCGTCTCGGGGCCAACCACTTCGCCAGAGGCCTAGGACATCACTTGGATGAACATGGGGTCGAATTGGGATACACGAAGCGAAGAACACGTGTGCGGCACGTAGTGGTGAAAACGTCGTTGATCTCCCACAAAAAGAGTTTTTATTGGTAATATGACAACATTGTTGTTGAGTTGTTGGGTGAAAAGGGATTTCCAAAAGTGAGAAGGGGGTGGGCATCCCCTGGCCATCCAACGTAATTAATTATTCCGTCCCCTTGGCCCTTGATTGGAGCAAATATAGGGTGTAATAACGCTCTCATGGGTCCACTGCTTGGTGGGAACCCTGTTGAACTTCAGGGGCTTGAGCTGGCGGCTAACGTTCATAAGTTCACAACGGATGTTTTCCACGTCCATGCATTGACGATAAACCTTTGGGGGTTGCTTCATCCTAAGCCCAACTGCTTACCCAAGTAGGTCTCTTTAAAACTGACACCGATCATCTGAGGCTTAGGTGATTGAGGGTCGCAGTCAGGAAAATGAAGGCGGCATGGAGATGCAACTTGGGCTAGCGCTCACCTAAGGTTCGAAAATCATGGTAGCAGCTGCACCTCTCACACAAGATTTCTTTTGTCCGCTTGAACCCTAAGTGCGGGTATGTGCAGGAAATTGAACAACATATGCCGTTCCCTGATTTTGGGCTGCTATTTGACATCGATCTTTGGAATTTGATGACGGTGAGGACTGAGACGAGGTCACCGTGAAAAAAACACCTCAAACCAGAAAACACTTTTTTGGAGGTGAAAGCCAGCCAAACGAGGTGAACCTTCTGAAAATGGAGTGCCAAACCCACTGAAACCACAGCGATTCACTTGGAAATGGCTGTCCAGGATCCGGAAAAAAATAACAGACCAAACCTTCCCCTCAAAGGGGATTTTGCCAATCAGGGAAAAGGGAAAACTCAACGGCAAGTAAAACCATGTTAAGGGTTCCGTGTTCCCGGTGCTCACCAGGCGCCCAAAACCTCCACTTCGTGCAGAACGCGCACTCGACCTCGTCCCAGTGGCGCTCTTCACCACTGGCTCCGGCAAGAGTGTGGGATGCATCATGTGCAGCTCAAAGGGGTCTGACCAGCCAAGCCTTGAGTGCTCCGACATGCTTCGACCACCCCTTTGGGCCAATGTCTTTTTGAGTATGGATGGAAATGGACATGTATATGTTATCAGCACACAACATCGGGGTAGAGCTTCAGAGTTTCAATGGGGTTTTAGGTGCAAGGATCTTGAAGGTGTTAATTTAACACAGTTTAACACATGCTATATAATTACTAAGAGTACTAAGAGTGTTTTCCGCCTGGATGGTACATGCATATTGTATATATATATATACACCTTGGGTGAGATTTGGTAGTTCATTGTTTGTTCACAGATGCCCCGTGAAAGACAGTGATGATTCTGTCCAAACAGGTCTTAGCCGGGCGATGCATGATTCTGGGTAAAGTCTTTCGTTGCTCCCCTCTCGACTCTCCTACCCTTGTTATATAACCTCTTGCCAAACAAAGCCAAATGCCCCAAAGGACCTCTAAACTCCTACACATCCTAAAACATGGGAACGCTACAGCATCTCGCCGCGCAAAGCTGCTCCGACGAGCCAAGCTGCTCGGTCATGATCGCCTCCATCTTTTTGCCCACGGTCTGCGGCAGGCGGGGTGAGACAACGCACAGCATTTACTTCCCCAAAACGTCAAAGAGCTTCAGGTTTTTTTGGTTCGTTTCAAGGTTGAAAGGTTGCAACAAAAACGCGAAAACCCGCAAGTATATTGACAATGATCTTGATGGTGACTTCTTCAGGGTGTCTTTCAAAATTTCCCTGAAGTCCCCTGAAGCTTCCACAAGAAGATTCAACAGTCTTCAACACATTAGACATTAGTCTATATTGTAAGTTGTCTCCAACCACATGGTCATCAGGTGAGGTACTTTGCGCTTGCGTTAGTGTGTCTGTGCGTTAGTGTCTCTGCATGAGGGATATGAAACTGAACATGGAGTTCCAATATGTTCCAACGCCAATCCTGTTAAGATCCTTTAAGGGTCAATTTGCATGGAGGATGCTGACAAGAGCTGCGGCCGCGGGCTCTCTCCACCATCACATGTTTTAAAATTATCTTCTCCTGTGAACTGGTCAATTCAAGCAGCAACAGCCTACCAGACCGTTGAACTTGCTGAGCTGCACAAGGTGTCTTTTAAGACTTTGCTGCAGGATGGTGGCTTCCAGGGTCCTCCAAATTCTTCCACGTTCTGTTGAAAACCATCGCGCAAACCACCAAGCCCATGAGGTGAAGAACACGACCACCCAGTCCACCCGGCACGAACACAATCTTGGATTTGCTGATTGGCGAGCCCGGAGAGAGAAAACAAAATTACACCACCGTAGACCCCAAACAGTTTGTGCTTTTCAACATCGGAACACTCTGCAACTACAGTTTGCGACGTCCAGAGCTGGGAGACAAAGGATTGCAAGGCAGAGGCAGACACAGCAGTCCAGAGCGAGACAAGTGTAGGTACAGGGAGACAAATGTGAAGGATTCCAAGCGACATGCAGCCCAGCGCTGGGAGACAAATAAAGGATTGCGAGGCAGTCACTAGCGAACACAGCAGTCAAAGCTGCGAGACAAATGTAAAGGATTGCAAGGCAGAGGCGCACACGGCAGCCCTGAGTTGAAATGTAAAGGATTGCAAGGCAGAGGTGGACACAGCAGGTCATTGTGTCCGCCTTGTCTCCCTTCTGTCTCCCTTTATCTCGCTTGCAATCCTCAACATCAGCTCTGAGCTGCTGTGTCCGCCTCTGCCTTGCAATCCTTTAGATTTGTTTCCCAGCTCTGGGCTGCTGTGTCCACACCAGCAGTGACAGCCTTGGGAGACAAATGAATAGAAACGCTACATGGCCAGCGGAAAAGGGCGGACACCAGCAGTGACACAAAGGGCGGACACATCTTAAGAAAGAATTGAGAACCCCTAACAGTAAACTGTTTGGGGAAAAAACATATTCCCCTGAATTAAGGGGATTCACTCAGTTCGGGAAAAGCACAAATCACCTGATCCA